GGAATCCGGGCTCTGGGTGCCGGGGACACGCACAGAGGGATGCTCAGGACCCAGACCCCTCCGTGCCAGGACTACGTGACACCCCTTCTGGCTCCCTCCTGCTGCGCACAGACTGGGCAAGCTCAGATGTGTGTGTTTCCCCCCTAAACGTTCCCTGGGTGTCACCAGGGGGGTCCCCCCGCACCGGGACGGGGCTGCCCACGTACCTGTGCCGAGCAGGGGGCTCCCGCCTCACTGCTGCTTGCAGGTGGAGAGCTTGCGGATCTTGCTGCTGGCGGAGCAGGCCTTGCGGGAGGGGTTGGAAGAGGCGCTCGCCCGCCGCTCCGCCTTCGCTTTGGTGCTCAGCTGTCCCGTCTCCGTCCCGTTCATGCAGACGGCCTTGGGCAGCCCCTTGCCGCGGCTCTGCCCGTTCTGCCCTGCCTCCTCCTCAGGCACCTGTCCTGCAAGGCGAGGGAGACGGTCAGGCAGAGGGAGGACAGCGGTCCCCTGAGCATCGCATCGCATCCCCATCCCCATCCCCATCCCCAGAGGAGCGGCCCTTCCCCTCGCCCGGACCACACGCTGCTCCCGAGGGAAATCAGAGCCCATTTCTGCGCCTTCGAGGGGCAGCCCAAACCGGGGACGTGTGCCACACGGAGCCCGGGGCTGCACTTCCCTCCCTGCTCCCACCGAGGACCGGTTTTACCCCCGTTCCCCCAGCACACAAGAGAAAAGCAAAGCTGAGGCAGTGAGCGACAACCACGGGCACAGCCGGTCCAGACCCCGGGCAGAGCGTGTCCTCCCCTCCCCGTGCCCATCCTGGACCCCCGGCAGCAGCCCGGCTCCCGGCCAGGGAGCAGAGGGGCTGCAGTGGAGGAAGTCACTCCTCCTCCTCCTCCTTCCCTGGAGTACCCACAGGTTTGATGTGTTTGCGGAGCAAACGCCTGTCTGCTTTCACAGCCCCGGGGACGGTCTGGCCGGGGCTGGGGCACTGCCCATCCAGGCAGCGAGGCAGCAGCTCAGACACACCACTGTCCCCACCAGGGGACACCCAGGTGGGAGAACGGCTCCAAATCAGCCCCTCTCCGCTCCCCTGCGGGGCAGCTCAGCGTGACTCAGCACGGCAGACCAAGAGCCATTTCCAGAGGCACCTGCCTGCTGCCGCGGCTGGCCGGGGCTCGGGTCACAGCCCTTCACACGGGGAGCGACAAAGGGTCCCCG